TGAAGGTAAGGTATGTGCTTGAAGAAACCAACAACTGGTGCTCACGCATGATCTTTCAAAACATTATTTTGCCTCCAATGATTGCCATGTACATTTTCAATGCAGTTTTTCACTTTGATTCGTCTTTGTCTCTACTTGATATGATTATCTATCCGTCATCTGCATTCTAGTCCAGTCTGATTTAGCATTTGGGTTTTCTACACATCACTGAAGGCTATGACAAGCCAATGAGCGCGTGCATTTCTTAGTGTGTGATGTAACCTCACTCGAATCGGGATAAAGCTGTTCTACAGGGCACTGAACTAATGCGAGAATCTAATTATTTAGACTACGCTTCACATTTGGAGCACCACAAATGAGACCAAAAATGTGACGATGAGTACCCAACTGTAGTATCAAATCCTTTTTTTTTTCCTAGTCGTAGGCACTCGTGCACTAATGTACCCTCTACTACTTGTCCCCTGATGGCAACCCAAAACATTCCTTCATCCTGAAACATCTTCCTCTGTAACAAAAGCGGGAAAAGGAGGAGGGCGGCGACCAGGAAGAAAGCGGACGCGGCCGGTTGGACGCCTCGGTGTGCCCCTTTTGTGTACACGTGACACAGCAACGGCCCGTGTGATTGTGATTATGTTGGCCACGGCTGGTTGCCATGACAGCAGGCCCGCAGTCAGTGTAAATAAAGTCCAGTGTCTTGGGAGTCCCCCCCCCCAACCACCACCATCTCCCTTTCAAACACCAGTGAGTCATCAGCTGCCCTCCCAGAGTAGATCAACACCCTCAGCTGATTGACAAAGACAAAATCTGAACCTCTCAGCTTGTGTGTGCGTGTGTCAAGTATACACAGAGAGAAGGGGGGGAAAAAAAGAAAGAAAGAGGGCTGGGCGGGGAGAAAATAGTGGAGTAGCAGGAGGTGGAACGACTACCGATGGGAAAAGAGGCAGAGATTATGCGATCAAGCAAACAAGAGGCTTGTCTGGGGTGTGGACTTAAAACAGGGCAGGGTAAAAAAAAAAAAGTGGGCGGCCGGGTCCTCCTCGAGCTTGTGCATTTAGACTCTGAGCCTGAAATTAGTATCACTGAGAGCAGGAGGAATTAGACTGGAAGAGACCCACAGCCAACTTACAGTAAGTCCAAATTTGCCCACTTGCTTCTAAGTTCTTGTATTTGTTTCTTGCCGTACCACAGGTGTGTCAGAAGAGTTACAGTGGGACACACGAGCAAACTTTACACTGTAGATTTACTTGAATTTTCTTTTTATGTGTGAAATTAACCATTCGCCAACAGGTCTTTCTAGATTTTGGAGGGGTATTTGAACTAATTTTCCAAGAAGTATTAAGATTTAAAGAAACAGTTCAGCTTTTTTTCCCTCCTTATTATTGGACGGATACACCTGGTGGAAGACAACTTAAGAAAGAATTTGTTCTCTAGCTGGTAGCGCCTCGGGGGCTGAAAGTGAACGCTGCAAATATTTAACGGAACTGTCCCGCTAGTTGTAGCTGTTTTGAAACACAGTAAAAGGGTGAGGAGCAGCTCCATGTCCGTATGTCAGTCTGGCCCCCCGCTGCCCGATGTCCTCATGGGAAAACTGCCTCTAAGGGACAGGGAGCTGGCAGAATGTGTGTGTGTGTGTGTGTGTGTGTGTGAGTGTGGGGACCCAACCCTGGACCGCTCCTTTCTGAAGGAGAGAAGAAGCGCATTCCAAATGGGCCTCCGCCTCTGATCTGCCTCACTTTGTTCTCACTGCTGGATTGAACTGGATGTGGAGGAGGTGCACGTGTGGTGCCCACTCACCCAGCCGGCCGCGCTCAGAGCATCCTGGGCTGGAAATGGAGGGAAAACGCTGGTTTTTAACCAGCGAGGCTGGTGGAACCAGGCCTGTTGGGGGGGTGGGATTAGCACGGTATTCTCCACAGTTAGATCAGGGAGTGGCAGGAGGCATCCTGCAAGCTACAGGACAAGCCCAAACACATCTACCTGTCACCGGCTTCACCTCCGGCCTGCTTCTCTCTCGCCCTCCCCGTCGACGGCGTCCAACTGCCTGCAGCCAGACGCCACTTTAACCGCCATCTTTCTGCTCAAAACTTCCACCGGCGGGGGTGCATCCGTTCCGCACACCATCTCTGTATAGAGAAATCAACACCCTGACTTTTTCTTTCCAGGCATTGGGAGTGTGTTTGGACTATTGCTACTAGTAGTGGGAAAGCCACGCCCTGAGTGGGAGCCAGATTGTAGCCCTCTTTTTTCTTTTTTAAATAATCCCGATTCCTTTGCCGGTTGTTGTATATATCACCTTCCTTCACTTGAACTCTGTTAGAAAGTGGGAAAGTCTGTTATTACTTAGATATTTTGCAGGTCATAAAGTCTGTGAAGTATGATAATAAATCACATTCTCTCCCTCCCCCCTTTTTTTTCCCAGCACAGTCATCATGCTGATTCTACTCGCTGGTATCTTTATCCTTCACATCCTAACCATCATCCTCCTCCTGGTGGCCACTATTGACAATGTAAGTCATTGAACCGACTTTTGAAAAATTCTTGACATTTTTGGAGGTTTTTAAGTGACATAACTAGCCGAGGGCGGTCACTTCCTGTCCTGTTTGAGGGGACACAAGCGCCTCCTTTATGACACAGAGCTACGCGTGGCTGGCTCTCAGGAGGCCCGCATTGTTGTCATGTCAACCCTGTCACCAAAAGCCACAGGTGCAGATCTGTACGGGCCAGGCGCATACCGCTGCCAGAGCTGACTGATGACTCAGCATTCCTTCTGCTTTTTTTTTTTTTAAATGTCCCCGTCACACTGAATAGATTAAAAGATGTTTTTGTTTCTGTGCGCATCCCTGCAGGCCTGGTGGATAACTGAAGACATGGCCACCGACGTGTGGGCCCGGTGGATTCTTCAAAACGGAGTTTGGAATTACACCGAACTCCCCACGGGATCCCACTACCCAACAGGTGAGAGACCTCCGCAGTTTTCCACAGTTTTCCCGGTCTTCTTTCAGCTCGCAGCTCTCTGACTCAGACTCCCTTTTACTTTACTCTTTCCTTCCAAAAGGTTTAGTACCTTATTGGTATGCTCATTACAGGGATTTGGAATGTTGTTTCTCTGTCCTCTTAATGACTTGGAATTTCACTCATGGTATGTTGGTATCTCTGGCTCCCCCTGCAGACTACCTCCAGGCGGTGCAGGCCAGCTCTGTGCTCGCGTGCATATTCTCCATCATTGGAATCTTTGTGTTCCTGGCTCAGCTCTTCACCCTGCCCAAGGGACAGCGGTTCACCATATCCGGCGTCTTCCAGTTCCTCGCCTGTAAGTGCCTCTCTTCCCCGCCTCCTGGAGGCCTGTGACTCCTCTGCTCACGCTTTGCCCTCCCTCCCCTCCAGGCCTGTGCATCATGATCGCGGCGTCCATCTACACAGACCGCTTCCACCTGGACGAGAGCCAGGGGACCTACGGCCACTGCTTCATCCTGGCGTGGATCGCCTTCGGCCTCTCCTTCTTCTCCTCCATCACTTACTTTGTGCTCCGCAAGAAGACGGCGTGATGGCACCAGGTCTAAGCTGTCACCCACGACCGGGTTTTTTTTTCTCTGTAACAAAACGGATTTGTGTTCACACTGCCTGAGAAGATTCCGCTTTTTGATGCAACCGACATATCAATCCTCTCAAACACATGCAACGTTTAACCGATTCTGCTTTTTGTTTCTTTGTGGCAGGATAACTACTTCACATAACTCGTACGTAAAAGGACTAAAGCAAACTTGGTTAATAAGCTGTATATGTTGAGTCTCTCATCTACTTAGAGATGGGCTGGATCACTTCAGGTCAAGGATAAGAACGTTTTTATTAGAGGTTCATGAGATGAGAAATTAAGCTAAACTAAGATCTCAAACAAACATAAACTCAGTTTTATCTTTGCAACTCAAAGGGCCTCATATTTTTTTTTAAAAAGGATAAAAAAGAACAAAATATAATTCTTCCATGAGATTTCCAAAAATAGCAATCAAAATGTGAATACATTAAAGTTAAATGCAGTGCAAACACCCCTTCATTCACTCCTTAGTTTTTTCTTGAAATAAAGTATTGCATTTATGATAACTAATTATTTCTGGCTCGTAACTAGCAGGATGAAGAGTATAATCTGTGGTCTTTTTTATTGTTATGTTTATTGTGTAATGTATATTTACGTATTGATCTGAACATTACAGTAGAAATAAAAGGGTGAATTATTTTTTATTCAGATATCGTTTTCTGAATCGTTTTTATTGTTCGTTCGCACATCTCAGACAAGCCACAAATGACATAAAGTAAAGGGAAAGGAGGATTAATGTAATACAGCTGAGTTTCTTTTGTCGTTTGTATTTTCATCTGGACCTGTTACACTCACTGTTTTCATAAGCCAACTGACAGTTTTTTTCCCTTCTGGTTGTTAAAACAAGAACACTCCAGTAACACAACACAACACAACACAACAAGCCTTTCAGATACTTGACGTTAGCTCTGTGCTCGCAGAGAGGAGCAGAAAGGCAGCGGGTTTTATCTCCTGACGCATGAGACTGTAAATAGTGATGATTTTCCCAGAATGCTCTGTATGTCCGATGCCGTTTGATTTTTTCCACCATAATGTGCCAGAAATGCCCATAACAAGGAATTTTTCTTATATTATATAATATTAAAACATGGTTTTCATCCAGTTGTTGAAGTTACTTGTTGCTTCATTATCATTTGTCAGGAATTGGTGCTGGAACATACAATTTTGCGGTCTCTGATGGTTTTAGATCAGCATCGATTGTATTTTTTCTGTGTTTTATTTATGCTCAGGTCTAAAATCTGTCCTCATGAGGTGAAAATCTAAATTAATATTTATCTTAAAAAATCAACATACTGATTGTAGCTCACTACTGGACCTGTGTTCAGTGAGTTACAGGCAGAACAGTTACTGACAGAATACAAACTACAACACGTGAGAAGACATCACTGAAGACATCACTGCACCCACGGCTCAGAGCGGGCTGTATTCCTCCTCCCGGCCCAGGTGAGTCTCCCTGAGTCCCGGCAGCGTGATGTGGATCGAGGGAGGGTGCGAGGGAGACGGGGAGGGGAGGGACAGACGGTGGAAAGGAGACGGAGGTGCGGGGTGGGGCGGGGGGGGCGGGAAGGAGTCGGAGGGCTTTAGGGGGAAGAGGGGGGGGGGGGGTGAGCCGGGGAGACGGGGGCGGGGGGGCGGCCGACGGGGGCTCGTAGTAGGGAGACAGGTGGGAGATGGGCGGGGCGGGAAAGGGTGAGGCAAAGGGGATGTTTGGGTTGGGAGGGGTATAATACGAGGCCGGGGGGAAGAGCCCCACGCAGTCAAAGCTGCACGGGTTGAGGCCCGACGTACGCCTGGGACCCACCATCAGGACCTTTTTGGTGTAGTTGTTGAGGGTGGACACGCCGGCCGCCATGCAGACCGTGAAGGCCAGCCAGGCCACACTGACGGACACAGGGGGTGGTGGGGGGGAGAAATAAAAAAGGAACAAAACATATGTGTCTGTTTGTTCACTCATATTCAACAAACCGAAACGATGACCTGAGGGGTAAAGGGCTTGAGTTTGGAATGTTTTAGAGCTAAGATAGAAAAGTCAATCAATCGATTTGAAGGGGAAGTCCTCTTAGGGGTACACATGATGAGAGGGGTAGCTTAAAGAGGCCAACAGAACTACTTTACATGGGTTTCTCCTGCTCTCTCTCATACAACGCTCATGTGCACACAAAGACATGGACAAATGGTAATGGTCTTTAGAATAATAAATCGTCATAATAATTACTGTTTAGAATTATTAATTAGCTCATTGCGAGCTTTCTTGTATTTTTTATGATACTATAAAGGCAGGATTTGTACAAATGTGCTGCATTTGTTTTCATTAATCAGTTTGACAGGTTTAGATGCCTCCATTCGCAATTAAAGATACCTCCCATTTGACTTTAAGCATTTTGTTTATTCTATTATAGACTTTATGTTCATTCAGATTTTTCCCCCCATTTCACCCCAAAGATAGGAGTTGATTTTTCTGACCATTTAATCATACCCATCACTCACCCCCCCCCAAATCCCAATCCCAAGTAAAAGTAAAAAATGGATGAATGGAACCTAAGTGGGTATGCAAAGCATATGAACCCTTTCTGGGACCAGTCCTGCACTTAGTTAATCATTCATATGTAGGTTAAAAAAAACAAAAAACACTGCTTTCACCTCGCTGCTGGTAAAAGAACATGAGCCAGACCTCTCTAACAGGAGGCCAGTTTCCTGTTATGTCCTGTACCCTGTAATGTGTGAGGAGCATGGCATGTCCTCAAAGACATTTCTTGGCCGTAGAGCTGTGCTGCTGACTGAACCCAAATTGACGAGCGTTTGCAGATTATTAACAGTCTGTGGGCATTGGTTCATCTTTCTAACTCATCCCAGCACATTGCGAGTTGTGAAACAGTTCACATTTGTAATATCAAAATGACATTAGTATAACAGGGTTCCGATGCTTTGGGGATAAACCCTTTAAAAGAGCATTTATAGCCCAGAGCCCACTCATAAACAAGGGATAACCACCTCTCCATCACTCAGAGAGGTGCTTGTTTTTTCACCTTGAAAGGTTTTCTGAATGTTGGCTACTAAACATAGTAGAATAATATTACCCAAAAGCTTTGAGGCTCGGTTTGGTAGTTTCATGCCCCAAAAGCCGAGAAAGAAAAGCAGCGCCTAGATTTAGCCTTGCCTTGACTCTTCTTCTGTTTAAAAAAAAAAAAAAAAACTAACTTTTTTGTTGTTGTTGTTGTTGTCATCTAATGATTGTGACAATTAAAATGAATTAAAAAAACGACTACTATCACTACTGCTATGACTTTTTCTGTCTTTTTGTGGCGAATAACTGTTGGTGTGTATTGGTATTGTGGTGGTCCAACCACAATGATCTGAGTTGTATACTCAGTTGAATAGGACTATACTGAGTTGTATAGTCATAGGTATTACTTCTCACAGTTTTGCTCACTTCAGAGATGAATTTTTGGATGTTTTCCTTTTTTATTTTAAAAGTCAGCATGATATGAATAATGAGGTTCACACTGAGAAAGAGGAAAAGCTGAAGTCCTGACTAACCCTGAATCCCTGTATTTCAGCGCATTTAAAGAAACATGGATGTCAAGCAACTCACTAGAACGCCCAGGAGTAGCCATAGCTGTGGGGTTTAAAGTCCTCTGGTCCCATTGAGGCAGTCGTCTGGAACACCTGCATGAACATCATGTGACCCACCATCCCGAGCAGACCTGAGGATGCACGCGGAGAAAGCCGTTTAGATGAACCTGCTGGCCGGGCTTATCGGGCTGAGCCGGCATTAAAGCCGCTCTGAACCACAGCGGCTGTACCTGCCAGCACTGTGAAGATAGCGGCGAAAGCGTTGAGCAGCTGGCCCCAGCGCAGCGTGGAGGGGAACCAGGCCCTGAGGCACAGCTGCACGGACAGCAGCACGCAGCTGATCAGCAGCAGCCCGATGTAGCCCAGCTCCATGGACAGAGACAGCCACATCATGGCTGTGGGGGGGGGGGGAGCACAACCAGGATCGGAACTGATCTCAAACCGTTAAGAAACCGAGAAAAAAACAACGAGACAAAAATCTGGAGGAGCATTACCTTTTTCGGATCCGGGAGTCAAGGTGTAAAACCCTCGGCACCTCTCCTCTGAAAGCACAATGATTAGTCTGAATCACGACCGAGAATGGTTTCTCTCTTTTCTACCGATGAACTACGGGCAAATGCTTTACAATAAAGCTGAGGCAACCTTTGCAAAAAACAAACCTGACAGAAGATGAGAGGATTAGTGAGCTAGAAATCTGGCAGCAGTTGCACCATTGTGGTTTATTTAGGAGATTTATCTTTGTTTAAATTTATTCTTCTTTTTTAGAACCTGACAGCAATTTATTTTAAACAAAATACGTGCAGTTACACACATTCAACCCCATGCACGTCCGAATGAGGGAAAGCAGAGTAAATCTTTTCCATTAGTCCGTTAAGCTTCTTTATGACTTGATTACCAAACTGCTGGTTACTGACATGTAAGCCCCCAATAACCCATATATGGTTTCTAATTAACTAAAGGTTGAGAGCTGGGAACACATAGGAATTGGAAGAGCATAAAAACATTTCAACAACCGACCAATCATGGGTAACATTTTGGGAAATATGCTGCCCCAAGGCCATTTTCTATACCTGCGTTATTCAATTCAGGGACCTGGAGCAGAAGCTCATCCCAGTTTTTGGGATGAGTTCACATGACAGGGGAAAAAAAGAGCACCTAACAGAGTCAGAGTCTCTCAGAAATTTAGACAAGGGAACTTTAAGCAGCCTCAAAACAACTCCATGGACAAATTTTGAGGCAATTTCAACACATTATGCCTCTATTTAAATTGTAAATACTGACCACCCCCCCTTTTTTTTTTTAGACTTCTGTCATTTAACTTTCACTATCAGGAATCTGAACCTAGTCAGTTTTGTAGAAGTCTAAATGTGTGAGACAAATTGACTTGTCAGGTGTGTGGCTCTGCTTAGGATAATTTCTGAATCAAGCCCACCATGAAATACGTCTGTTCAAAACGTCTACGCAGCTATTTGCATCTTTGAATCACACACCACTGCCGGCAAAAAAACTGCTTCCTGAACTAACCACTCAGGAAAGGCTTTTTGGTGAACGTTCCACCGGCGTTCTCCCCCGGCTTATACAATCAGTCGCAGAGCAGCTGCGGATGAGTCGGTGAAAACTGAGCCCATATTTGTGAATCCTGTTAACCTTTCATTCTGGGGAGTTTAATCCATAATTGAGTCCTGCTGCTGAAGTCTAAATCTACGCGGGCAGAGCACACAGATGCTAATCCTCTTTGGGCTGAGCACATAACTAGGCGCACTCACAGCCTCACACAAACGGGTGTGAGTGAAGACGTTGGATACCTCAGTGCCTATTTCATATTGGCACTCCATCCACAGTTATGGTGTGGTTTTTTGTTTTTCTTGATGCGATTAAGGGAATTCTCTGAAAATCTCTTACAATTATACTGTTCAAATCTTATATTGTGGCACTTGTTTCTGGTCATAGTCTTTAGATGTCTGTGAACAAATCCAATATTTTCTAATTTATTAATTTCCTCTACTTGTACAACTCCTTTGGGTCACATATATGAGCTTTTGTGAGGAAAATGAGCAAAGTAGTTCTTGATAGAGAGGAGTCCTCTTTTTTCCCCCATTTTTTTAAGGGTTTTTTCTTTTAAGCACAACGGAGCAGACCCATTTCTCTTTTTTCCTCCCGTCATTCTCACCCCACTCGTCTGCATAGATGTTTTCCTCGCAGAGGAAGAAGAGGCCGGTGTGAAAGGTGGGGAAGACGAAGCGGTCGTCCCCGGTCTCCCAGAAGAACTGGATGTTGGAGGAGTTGGACAGGCCCGGGACGGGGATGCAGTTGCTGTGCTTTGTGGCCGTGCAGAGCGGCTTGGGAACCTTCTGCTGACCCACGCACCAGAAGGAGGACACCAGGGCCACGGTGCTGAGGAGGAGGGACACCACCGTCTGGAAGAAGGAGAGGGACGGGGAACGCACCCTTTGCAGGAATGTCATCATGAAAGGCTTAAATGAGGGCTGAAGTGGGGGGGAATGGGGGGGTGGAAATGCAAATCCTTAATGTCAATAAAGACACAGGCTTCTTCAATTAAATACAAGAGTGAAGGATAGAAAATGTCAAGTTTTCTGAGTGTCAAAAAAAAGAAAAAAAACAGCCAGTGGGTTATTAGTTTCAGAGCAAATCAGCTTTGCACAAATGCTTCATGATGAGTGAGGCGTTTCAAAAAGAAATCGAAAGGAGAGCTGGCAGTCCATCATCGCTAATAACATTTAAGGAATAAAAGACTGTGACAAAAACTCACACATCACTGGTAATTGGTGGCAAGATAGATGGTTAAATCAGAGGAAAAATAAGTGAGGACTCCTGTCACCAGCGAGCTTCTCCAGGAGGCAGACGCCATAAATCAGAGCACTTTATGTCAAGCAGTTAATTAAATTTGAACAATTGAGAAAAGGGGAGAGGAAAAAAAAAGAAGAGTACTTACTTATTTCAAGCATCTAACTTCATCCACGAACGAAGTGCAAAAAGTGAATGAAAAATCTCCCTTTGCCATTCCCTCAGTCCGCCCCTGCCCCCCCCATTAGACTGTGAGGGATGGGGGATTTTGGCTGTCACAGTGACCTCTGCGGGCCGTGGGACTATCGCTCTTTATGATCCCGTCATCAGGCACAACTGTGAACATATCGCACCCACATGTGCGCACACAAACACACACACACACACACACTCTGCTTTAATCCGGCCTTATAAATCCCAAACAGACAGCTCTGTTCCATCTGTTTTCATTTGGATTCCTAGACTTTTTAAGCATTCATCCGCCTGTTAGTTGCCCTATTCTTAAAATAATTTCCAGCTTGTAAATGTGCACTGTTGCTTTGACATGACCTGGCGAGTAAAAAAACAAAAACAAAACAGATATATATATATATATGGGTGTGTGTGTGTAGTCATTCTCCACCATATTTAAAAAAATGTAGGCCAGCTGTTAATAATTAAAAATCTATTTGAGACAACTCCCAATTGTCCCAGAAATGTGGTGTGCAATGCTTAGAAACCCAACTGCTACTTTCCAAACTGTAAAGGCCCCAGTTAGCATATGAAATTCTTACATTTATGACAGCAAATATTGAAAAAAATTTAAATCTTGGGGGGGGGACAAAACATTTCTGGAACAATGATCATTGGAGAGATGATCGCAGGTAAGACTATAAGGAACAGCACCACGTTTGGTGAAACCCAAACAGCTTAGTGGGGCAACAACAGTCATGGGAGGTTACCTGTCTGCTATGGCTGGGCTTAAAGTGGGGGTCACCATCGGGACAGCGATCCCAAACACGGCAGGAAACCTACAACACAAAAAAACCTGAAAATAAAAAGTCACAAGTCCTGAAGTCGACCCCACAGAGAGGCAGCGGTGGCACCTTCAGAGGGACGTGTAAAACAACAGCCACGGAAAGCCGATCGGGCCTCAAATTCCTCCACGGGATGAGTCTCTCCACCATAATCTGTAAATGATCCCCTGAAGTTACCACAGCTGAAGATGGTTCCATGAGCCCCTGTGTCAGCAGCGGTAGCCCGGGCCACATGCAGGTAGGCCTCAGTGAAGCAGGTCGCTGACAGACAGTCTTTGCTCCTTTCAGCTTTACCGCCCCCAAACTGAAACGGGCTGACATTTATTTTTCACACCTCAGCTGGTCTCAAGTTAAAAGTCTCACCTGGCTGATGTCCAGACGCGCCAGCCCCCTGAAAACACTGAAAGCATTATGGAAAGAAAACAGCAGAAGAAAACAGCCCATCGGCCGAGACGAGTGAGCAGAAAGGAACATTTTTTAAATTGAGTTTGTCAGATTGTCACCACATCTTTTAAACATGCCTTTCACCATTTTCTTTCAGAAATTTGCCAATTACTATGTTCTGCCTCATTTTAAATTTCACACAGCATGCCTACATTAGGGCTTTGGGGGGAAATCATAGTGGTGTGCTTAAAATTTGTCTGTTTTTTTACATTTCACCTACAATAAATATGACGTTTTAATTTAAGCTCTTTTTTTCTTCTTCTACTGAGGTTACTGTTGCCACTCTCACATTTACTTTAAGATGGATAGTCTACATTCCAGAAAACACAATCGAAATGAGTCAAAATGGTTATTTTTGTACTGATACAATCCAGAAAACTCAACCCTTTCTTTTCTTTTTTTCCCCAAGATATCTCCATTTGAAATTAATCCACCCAAATAGTAGTGAGCGTACACAAAAGGAGCCCAACTCAGCATCACAAGGTAGAGAGAAAAATGTAAAAAATAACAGGAAGAGCGTACTTGAAGCATTTTTAAGTGTATTCATATTTCATATACATATTGACAGGTTTTCTAATACAGCATGGTTTCGATAGTGTGACTGTCTTCTTTCAACTCGGCTTTCTTTTTTTTTCCATTTTTTTTTTTACAAGAATAACAATAGAAAATGATAAAGACGACACCATGTATGACTCACTTTGAAATCTGGTGGCAATGCATCTTTTTAAATGGATTTTGCATCTCCCTATTGAATGCTGCTGCAGAATGAAACCATGTTAAAGTACTTGGTTGGGCTCGCTCCACGCTGGCCGCCCGTACGACGCCCTCTCCAAAGTCCGCTTTCCTGAAGTGTTCCATCGCTCTATGAGGGACTGACACGAGTTAGGCAAACGGAAATTTGCATGGAGAACGTATAATTTCAGGGAGGTGAGAGCTCCTTGGCGTCCCGTCCTTCACCTCTTTCTCCTGTCAGCATGGTTAAAGATGGCGAACACGCATCAAGTCCTTAGTGTTAACGTCCGCTTGCAAGTCTCTTTCTCTTAGCACGTTATGAACAATTTGTATTTGAAAAATAAGACCGTCCATCTGATTTCTCACGAATACTATCTGTACCATAAAAACCCCGGCGATGAAAAATAAGAACACTTTTCAAAAAGGACCAAAATGGAATTAAAGACCCAGATATTGGCATTTTTTTCTCCCTCACGCACGCACTCATGTCTCACTCATACACGACTTTTTGAAAGGCAACAGATGTCCGTTCTCCAAGGCAATAATGTCTTTGTGGCAAACTCGACCCTGACATTCCAGACATCATCACTCTGGCTCCTCCCTCTCCAGGAATGGGGTAACAAAAAACAGAACAAAAAAAGGAAAGGTAAAAAAATGTAAGTCCAACTCGTGTGCTGATTGAATATAACGTGAGATACACCCATTTTGTTTTCAAAAGTAAATACTGTTGAGGATACAAAATAGTAATAAGGACAAAAATAATAACTGAAATCATCCTAATATCATAAGATAAAATACTACATGTGAGAGGATACAAAAAAGTCTTGTTTTCTTTTGAAGGGGGGTATAACACCCAAATTGCTCCCAATACACCTCTGAAATGCAAAGAAAATAAACAAAAAATGTAGATGACGAGAAATAAAGAGCTGAACACTTTAAGGGTGTCTGGAAAATCAAAGTATGCCTAGAGAGGAAGTTAGTTTCTTTTGTTCTTTACATAAAAAGTTCCTTTAAGTCTTCCATCGGTCCCCACGTCTCCTTTCATCCCACTTTTAAATCACTGTAGTTTGTAGTCTCCGTCCTGCAACTCCGTTCCTCCATGTTGCATGTCAGTTTTTTTTCCTCTTTCTTTCTTCTTCTGCATTTAATTAAGAGCAATACAAAAATGTTACTTTTCTCCATTGTCTTAAATGTAGAGTGGATTTCTGTTGAGAAATTGTACATTCCCTTTAGCTGTTCCCCACAAAGTCCAGTCTCCTCACATTTGTCATTCCCCAACTGTCCAAGTTAACCTGAGAGAGGAAACACATACACACACATAAAAAAACAGAGTTCAAACCTTTTGGGTATAAATGAAATAACTTGAAAGTTTTCCCTCATATGACTACTTACTGAAAACATGTATTTTTGTACAAATCAAAACCAAACATGGCTAAATCTAGACTGTCAAGCAAGGTCAATCTTTTTATTGGCATTCTAAATCTTAAGAAAACGGAGGTACGTTGCTTCTGTGTCGGTTTCCATGGATACAGTGTGATTTGAACGTGAGAGGGAGGTAGTGACGTGAAGAGACAGGTGAGCAGGCCAGGCGTGAGAGAGAGGGGGAGAAAAGTAGAAAAGTAGCGGGTGCACTGCTAGTTTGTTTAAGAAAATAATTCCTTAAAATAACAAATTCTAAGAGCTGTTAAAATTCCCTGCAAAAATCAAAATGGATGTAAAGACTTTTGGATACATCTAACAGGATCTAACTCACCTTAATGAGTTGGAATATGAAACAACATGATGTGCAGATGCAGGATTAATGCTAACAGAACCAGATTCAAATCAAAGCCACAGGCAGAAAAAACGCACAAGTTGTTTTCAACTTACAGCTCTCGGTCTCCTGTGTCTCTTCCTCCTCTCCGTTTCTCTCAGCCTCTCTCTGACTGCTCCAGGTACACTGACTTGGCTGGCCGGATGCTCTGGGTAAACTGCATTCAGACGAGATGAGAGATGGAAAAGCAAAATAAATAAATAAAGAGGATTCAGTGATTTGGTTTGGGATAAAAACAAAAGGCAGAAAAAGTGTCTAAATGAGAAACAGAGACCAACCTCTCTTTCTTTACCTTGTGCTTCGGACACCTCAGTGAGAAATTATCTTCGTTTAGAGAACAATCTGGCGAAGGTGAAAAAAACAAAATGTAAATTCTTAACGGAAGCTGCCATAGCAGAGTGGCTACATGAGCTTGAATTATTTGCAGAGCAGTTTGAAACCAAAGCACCCACTCACCGGCTTCCATAGAACATAGGTAGTGGTAACGGAGTGTGCAGCCTTTGCTGTAGCAGCCCAAGGTTGAGCCAACCATCTCACAGTACGAGCAGCTCTGACAAGACACATTACAACACATGCACTATGTTAAAGAGGGATAACTGACGCGTAACAAAACAAAACAGCTCAATTAGATACAGGTCAAACTCACCGTTTCTCTGGCACCATCTAGTGCCTCCTGCAGGCCGTACAGTCTTCCATTTACAAGGTACACGCCACTGGTCCAAACTATACAGCCTTCATGTACCCACAGTTCCTCTGGGTCCATAGGCATCTGAGGCAGCTGTGCAAGTTGTGCCAGGGGTCCCAGAGAGTCCAAGGCGGGTGGGGGCGGCTGAAAGGGCAGGGATGCCTTGCTGTTGGATGGAACCATTCGAGGGGAATCGTCGCTGGACTTGTGTCGCCTTTTGAAGCGGGGGTGGGAGGTTAGCTTCCTGTGTTGCGGCCGCTGTTGGGCGACCTCGGGCGGCTGCTGGGGCTGCTGTTTTGGCACCTGCTGCTGCTGCTGCTGGTCGCCTTCGAAGTCCGGCTCTCTCTTGAGCTCCGGGATAGGCCGGATGTCCGGATGCATGTCCCACGTCAGAGAGGTGGTGAAGGAGGAAGAGGACGAGGGGATGTGGCTCAGCCTGCTAGCTGCGTGCATCATCATCATCTCATTTGTTCCAGCTGGGTAAGCGGTTGGGACTCTGGTGGCGAGATACGCTAGCTCTGAATCTAGTCTGGCGGAATACTCGCTCTCGGCCGAGGGCTTGGTGAACTGGGCTTGTTGTGTTGTTTGTATGTCTTGGATGGCGCTTGAAGGGTTGGAGGTTATGTCTGAGTTTGGTCCAGTTTTGTTGGGGCCCGTGGCAGCCTGGCACTGTCTAATCTGGGGCTGGTTCTTGGGGAGCTTGGCGGCATATTCGGCTGGATAGTACGGCCCGTACAGATCGCCGAGGTGCTTGTAATTGGCCCATTTCTGACAGAGGCAGCATAGCAGGCGGCCAGAGTGATTGGTCTCGGTAATCACGGGGCCTGAAACGACATAGCCGGACGACGGGAGCGCTTTGCCTGACTGAAGTGCGCTTTCCACCTCGTCCGTCTCCCGTGTCTCCACTTCTTTGTCTCGCCGGGATAACTGGGAGGAGAGAGCCGAGGTCAGGAGAGAATCGAATCCGCTCCCGCCTGCTTTCCCAACGGCCGCGCTGCGCTCTCCCTTCATCTTGTCCTCCTCAGCGTTCACAATTGTGCACACGGCTCCGATCTCTGGTACCTTCTTCTCCACGTGTATGTGAGGAATGAACAGGCCCTTTCTGGTTGGATCCGCGTAGACTCTGTTAGTGCCGAGACCCCCTCCTGCCGCTGTATCTGGGTCATCTTTGGTCATAGACGTTGTCGCCGCTACCGGCGCTCTCCTCCTCCTCCTCTGCCTCCCCCTGGCTTCAAACGGCTCATCTTCATCCTTGACGCCCTTGCGTCTGCGCCGCACGGGCTTGGCCTCGACCTCTGGCTGTGCGTCTTCGCTCTCCACGTCCACTTTCACGACCTGGGTCAGTACAGGCGGGTCGAGCAGGGGGGAGTCTTTAGTTTCGGGCGGAGGGGGCGCAGTGGGGGTCGATGTGGTGCAGGCGGGCTGCGCCGCTGACGGGGTGCTGGCGGCTGCTGGAGAGGGAAGGGGCGGTGCCGGGGGAGCACTCTGGGCTGCGTTGAGTGTCGGGACCTGAGGCTGGGCCTGCGCTTGGACTTGGTTCTGAGCCCGCTTTTGCTTATTCACGCTCCCCACGGGCCTGCCCTTTTTCTTGCCAGATGGGAAGTAGCCTTTAGGCACAACACTCTCTAGTGGCTTTGAATCTTGTGGCGACAGACTGGACCTCCCTGAAGACATCTGATGCTGTCTGTTCAGCATGTGTCCTTGGTGGGGAGGGGGTGTCCCATAGTAGTCGCTGCCAGGGTAGTCTTCAAATCCCATGCCCGATTCTTGAAGTTTTTGTCGGAGGAGGTTGGCGGCAGACTGCTCCCCCCGCCGCGTCTCAAGCTGCTGGTAAGTGTTTGTGAAATGCTGAATGTCTGACAGGGCAGAGGAGGATGGAGGTGGGGAACCCTGCACCGGCCGGGGAAGAGGTGGAGGAGGAGGTAAAGGTCCGAGTAAAGCAAAGTCCTCTTTGTCCCCAGGCGTGGAGCCCACGGCAGATCCTAACCCAAAGTCAAAATCCTGTTTGATGGCTTGCGATGTCTGATGGGGATCGCATGGGTAGGCGGGCGTCGGCACGGGCCCAGCTTCATCAACGCCTCTGAAGGGAAGCATGCTTTTTAAGGAGTGACTTTCATCCATGTAACTGTCGTCTCCTCCTGAAACCCTGGGGAAAAGCGCCAAATCTTGGTCCTGTGACTCGTTGAACGTCGGCATTTCAGAGTGTGGGAATCCCGGGTAATGGTTCGAATCATCATCGGCGTGGCCTGCTGGCTTTTTAACATTTGGGGTAATTTTCTGCACTATTGCCTCGAGCTTTAAACCTCGCCCTTTTCTGGCAGGTAAAACCTTGCTGTTGCCACTTGATGGAGACAGAGTTTGTGAAAAGGCGCTCTCTCCTGGCAGAGGGGAGGTGAGTCTGGGACATGGCAAATCCGAACTTGATGAGTCATCGTCGTTGTGATGGCTGGACTCTGAAGGAGCCGCCGGCGAGTGATGCGAATTTGTGGCAGCTCTCTGCTGAGACGCATCTTGAAGTTGTCTTTTGGCAGGAATGGGAGAGATAAAAGAGCGAACTCTCCTTCTTAGCATCAGCGGATTTGTGTCTCCGGCACCTCCAGCTTTAGTCTGGCGCTGGCCCTGTAGCTGAGTGGAGTTCACATCAGGGGGAGGCTTGGTGGAGCTGCATGGAGGAGGTGGGCAGGGATGTTTGGCCTCCTCTGGGGCTCCCCTTGGGGGCTCGGGCTCAACGGCATTTTGGCTGTGGGACATGGGCGGGGGAACGGGGCCGTGTGAAACCACAGGGGCTGGAGACGGAAGAGGGGGGGGTGGAGGAGGTTGGGCTCTATAGTAGGGGTCTCCCTCTATCATACGAGCACCCTCCCGTCCAGAGTGTGCCGATTCCCACATTTTCATTTCGTAATAAGCACTCTGATGATGGAGCGAAACTTTGCTGGGATGCTGCTCACTGGGCACGTCGCCGTGGGAAATGGCTCGGTGCCGATGCTCTGACTGGCTGACCTTATGTCTTCCAGGAGAAGAGCCGGGCTGCATCATCATCTCTTTAGAAGAGCGGCTCATCGCTTTCATCCACTCGCTCATGTCATGCGGGTGATGGGGGGGGGCGCGGGGGTGCGCGTACATTTGCAGCTTGCTGGTGGTTTGGGACTGAGGTGGGAGATGGTGGTATGGATGGTGGGGGGGGAAATGCGGATTGCCGCGCGGCAACAGGCTGCTTTCTCTTGTGTCTCCGTATCGAAAAGCAGGGAAGGCGCCGCCCCCCCCGGCTGTCAGATCCACACCGTGGAGATATGATGGATGCCTCGACGGTGAAGACAGAGGATTAGCGCCCAAAGGGTGAGAAGTCATGTCCAGGCCACTTCGCCTGTAGGGGTCGGCGCTCATTCCAACTGAATGAACAGACTTGGAATGGTACTCCACGTCTGGCTCGTTAACCCCGCTGATGCCGTGATGTTTGGCTTGGATATGTGCAGCGTTTGCTCCAGCCTCTTTTGACGGCATCTCTGTTTTTATCATGTGTTTCTCTCCGGGATCCTTTTTGTCGCTGCCTGCGGCCGGAGAGGAGAAAGGCTGCTGGATCACAGAGGCTCCGCTCTGACTTTTCTCACGCTCCCTGTCTCTTTCCCTGTCCCTCTCCGGTGTGCTGCGTCGGTTTGGCGACACATCACAGATGACGGAGCGCCGCTCTGAGGAGGCCAACATGGAGCCTGATGATTTCTGAGGCTCCGTTTGACCGGTGGTGCCGGTCAGTGGCTCTGGCTCCTGCAAAAGGAGCTCCTGCACAGCAGAGGAAAGGTTGGACGCGTTGGCTGATCCTTTTTTCTGTGGGAGGGAAAAGTCAGCCAGGTTTATATGTTTTGGTGGGGGCTCCTGAGACTCTGTGGCCTGCGGTAAATGCGACACACCCACTTCAGTTTTATCAGCATTCTGGTACATCTTAGCATTGGGCAGCTCTGACTTCATGGCGGACTGGAGATCAGCTGGGAAATCGGGCTCACTTCCATGTTTCTGATTTGGGGGCTTCCCAGAACTCCCCATTTGAGCAGAATGAGCTGAAACCTCAGGTACTGCACTTTGAATCCTTCCACTCTCTGTCATACCAAATGCGAGTCTGTTTGGAAACTGCTGGTGAACATGGTGATGTGCAGGATATGCCTGCTCTGGCCTGCCATAGCGTCTATCTAAATTATAACCTTGAAGGACCTCTTGCAAAAGGCTTGGGAACTGCTGCATCTGTGAATTCTCCTCCTGACCCTTCGATCCCTCGCCTTGGCTTCTCTTCAGCAGGGTGTCCACTGCAGGACCTCGAGCATCTTTTGGATGCGCATATCCAGTTTGTGACTGTTGGTAGCCTAAGAATCTCGCGTTAGAGTCTGTTACACCCTTTGGTCCAGCCCTCACTCTGTTCTTCATGGTTAAATCCGAGCCATATGTCGAGTCGGAAAAGCCATATTTATGTGAACCAGGCGGTGCAGGATTTTGAGACCTTCCGGGTTTCGATTTCTGGCGTTGGGGAGAACACATACTCAGATCTACACCTTCCTCGCCGTTATGACTGCTCGACTCCCTGGAGTGAGAGTGCGGCTGCTTTTCTTCCACACAGTTGTCTTGGGGATGCTTACTTTTTTCAGCTTGAGCTCCTTCCGATCTGGCCGAAACAATCACACCAACATTACTGGAGTTCTGCTGTTCTTCTGATGCGTGTTTGTCTTCTCTCTTATAATTATGTGGTTTGGTTTCGGACACTAACCTGTTTTCCTTGTCTTGACCATTTGGTGTGTCGGCTTCTCCGTCTCGTTGTGTTTGGCTACTGACCTTCTGCGTTTTTTCAGCTGCAGCGTCGCCTTCCTTTTTCACATCTGGCGGTTTCCTCTCTCCACCTCTGTCAGCGTTAAATGTCAAACCAGTTTCTGGGGTGCAGTTTGGTTGTGGGGGAGGAATGCTGGATGGGGTGAATGAAGGCGACAATGAAACTGGAGGTGCTGGATGTGTCACTGGGCCCGTCTCCGATGACTGATATCCAAAGGATGGAGATGACGACGACGATGATGATGACGGCAAAGGAATGTGAGCTTCTTTTCTTTTTGTTTCTGTGGCAACTGTGTCTTTGGATGGAGAATCAGATGCGACTGATTTCACGCTGGATGCTCGTTCAGTTTGTGTTTGGGTTTGATTAAAGCCAGCTGCTTCAGACTCACTGCTTGCACCACTCATCTGCCTCACCCTCCCATGTTCCCCTTCAGAAAACTGATCCTCCCTGTCTCCTTTGGTCCCGGATGAGCCCCCACTTGGCATCAAAGAGAAGTCTTCGTCGGCAACAACATCTAGGCTAGCACCGTCGCCGATGCCCACTGCACCTCCATCTTTGACGGTGCTAGTGCTGGAGGCCGCACTTGCGTTTCGACTCCTGGGCTGTGGCGGGGGCACTCCGTGCACTGCCTGCTGCACCTGCCCGCCATCTTTCCTCTTCTGTGAAAGCACTGAGTCAGTGAGGAGCATGTGCTGAATGGTGTTTGGTAAGTTAGCTACTTGTGAGCTCAAGGCATTAAGACTATTCAGGCCGGCATCTTGCATTTTGTCAAGCGAAGGAGTCGAGTAAACCGACAAGCCCTCCTCTCTGGATCCAATTCCGCCACCATGACCCAGCTTGTTGCGGCCCGACGTAGGAAGACTGCTTCCCCCAACTGGGTTGTGAGCCTTATGACTAGCACTGCTACCACAACTACTGATGCTGCTATTCGAGTTGGGTGTGGGACTTAACTGAGGCATAGTCTGCAGTAATCTACCATGGCCGTGGCTGCTACGGGGGTTTGATGGCGGCGGATGCGAGGGACCGTGGCCTGACGGGTTTCCATGTGCCTCTGGGACGCCCATCAAAGGGGAAGGCGAGGAGCTACAGCTAGGGGAATGCACTGCTGAGGCAACTGGGGAGGGGTTGGAAATCGGGCTGAAGTTTTGGTTCATCGGAGTCTGCTGCGCATTGGGATGCATCGGGGATTTGGCCAGTTCTTGAGATGCTGGTTGAGGTAAACTGGGAGCGGAGGCCTGATGTTTAGCATAAACGGAACCCGGGGATGGACCCTGATGCTGCATCTTCAGAGATCCGTCATATCCTACGCCTAAACCATGCTGCGAGTTGCGGTGCTGTAGTGTGGCCTGCTTGTGAAGGGAGTGTGACTGTGGGGAGTATACGTGATAGTTTGCAGCATGGTAGCTCTGTTGAACATTCTCCATTGGCCCCACATTGTTAGCAGCAACTGAACTAGAGATTGAGTTTGAACTGGAGTTGACACTGGGAGAACTGTTGACTTTGGGATCAAAGCCAGTGCTAGCAGCTCCATCAATATACCTCTGCGGAGGGGGGCTATACATTCCTGACGACCCCGTGGACGCTCCACCCTGTGGAGAGAAATGTGGGTATTGTGGGGTCATTCTGTGGCCAGAGTGTGTGTAGCTCCTGTGCTGCTGTCCGTGGTGGACAGGAAAGGTCTGCCCGTGCTGGCGGTGCATCTGGGAACCTGGCACCGACTGCATTGCTGGGTTCTGGTTCATGCTGTACTGATGAGAAGGAGAAAAGGCTCCGGCTCCCCCACCCGAAGCAGCACCGGAGCCATAGTCTACAGGATACGGTGACATGAGGCCAGAGGACGGTGCGGAGCTCGATCCAGGATGCCGGTACTGGTGAGGTATATGTCCATCAATAGTGGGGTACCCAAACCCTCCCCCATAACTCATACCTCCCCGTCTGTGTCTGTCCTTTCCACCCATTGAAAAATAATAATCCATAGCATCCTTCCTGTAGGGGTTGTTACCGCTGCCACTGTGAATGTTACTCTGTGATGGTGGTGGCTCCCCAGCTCCTCTATTTCTTGCACTGTAAGCGAGCATGTGACTGGCCTGCCCGGGGTGGTGATGCCCTCTGTGCAGACTCTGCTGTTGCATCCCTGCATAATCATCTGTCATCCTCGGGGAGATCTGGGGCTCTGCTGGCTGAGGGGGATAAGGAGCTCCACCTACACCCCTCCCACTGAACCCAGGGGGGATAGAGGGAGGAGCTGGACTGTTCGAAAAATTCTGCATCCTTTTTCCAAGTTTGGATTTTTAAGAGAAAAAAAGAAAAGAAAAGAGATATTTGTCAGTGTCTATATCATGGAATGATTCAGTCCAAAAACTGTAAGGCTTACTCAACAGCCCGGTATTAAAACAAGAAAAAGCTTATTAAATCCACTAAAAGCTGTAGCAAAGGATTAAATGAAAAACATTGCAGACGTTGAAATCAATTTCCATCCCGTAATGTGTGGCTTAGGATATGGAACATGAAAGAGTTTACCAACAACATAGAAGGCTCAAAATCTTTAAAAATCCTACATATTCAAAGCGAAAAGACTCTTTCTCCACTTCAAAAGGCTTCCTCTCAATGCTGGGCCTCCAAAAACATCTTGTTTCACAAGAGATGGGTCGAGAAGAAGATTCCTACTTCAGAAAAATGGGAAGCTAAGCGTGAGCAGTTATTCCCACGAAGCAGTTTGGCACTGAGAATGCAATGATATCATGGACGCCTGCCACATCCCACCATGACTTTCAACTTTAAAATGTCTTTACATGGACGCACTCCACTATAATAACAGCTCAAGCAAAGAGAGCTATTCTAGGATTAAACCCAGCTTTGATCCAAGGGCAGAAAATACAAAAAAAAGAAAAAAGAAAAAGAAAAGCAGTAAAATCTAAAAAAAAACACCATTGAGATTGCTTGGTGTGACTGCAGTCCTTCAGTTTGTCAACATGTGGAAGTTTCCCCAGACCCGACTCACACCTGTGTGAGACACAAAATCCAGTAAGAGAAAGGAGAGGTTTGAATGCTTAGCTTCACTAAACACTCCTGGAGGCAAACACTCCATGGATCTTCTCATCCGCTCTTAGGTGCAGAGGGAAACGCTTTCTCTCCTTCCCCAGTCGAACGATTTGGTCCCCGCCTCGTGCTGTCTTCTTTCTCGGTGCTTTGCCTCAGCTTGTGGCCTTCAGCATTCAGCCATCTTACCTTTGGCGTGTTTCGTCAACCATCATTTAATGCTGGACAGTTCCACGGCAACAATTTTCCAAAGTTAGGGTAATCCATTTATTCCACCTCAGGTTCCATCAATTCGGGCTCCCGTACTGTGTTTTTTGGAGTATATCCATGCATACAAGTTCATTGTCCGTGAGCTGCTGACCAGAAATCCTTGCGACTGTGGAAATACAAAGACAAAATCAAAAGAGTTACCGAGACCACATTTCTACAGGACATATCATGTTTTTAAAGCTTTACTGCTGTATGTAGAGGGTTGCAATCTGGCCACCTGATGACACTAATGTACATGTCATTGATGAACATCAGTAAGATGATCTCCATTTAACTGTAACGATTCCCTAATAAACGTTAAACAACCTCCAACAAAGTACAAACAAAGTCACAGACACTGACTTTAAATGTTTGTTTTAACTTAATTTAACTACATCTCCAATTTACTATGGCTGACTTTGTCAAAAAAACAAACAAACAAGTGAGCTGGTGTTGAATCAAATATTCCAAGTCACATCAGTAATTTGGCAACACGGTGGTGGGGTGATTAACACCATCGCCTCACAGCAAGAGGGTTCCCGATTCGAGTCCCCAGGGGGAACCGGGACCTTTCTGTGTGGAGTTTGGATGTTTTCCCTGTGCCTGTGCGGGTTCGGCTTCCTTCCCCATCCACAAACCTGCATGTTAGGTTCACTGGACACTCTAAATTGCCACTAGGAGAGAATGTGAGTGTGTGTGGTTTAAATCTGTGCGGCCCTGCGATGGACTGGTGACCTGTCCAGGGTGTACCCCGCCTCTCGCCCGTCGTCAGCTCCAGGAGATAGGCTCCAGCCCACCCATGCCACCCCCGTTGGGAATAATCGGTATAGAAAATTAAGGGATGGACACCCGCGGTTCCCATTTGTTGCTTTTTCGCAAAACAGCAACACGATGTGGCCATTTGCTTTTGTTATTTACCTTCTTCATTCAAAGGCTGCCTCTAGCCTTGCTTACGCTCGTGCCCTTATTCTAAAATGCACCGCTGATCTGTCCTTTATCCTTTTTATTTTCTAACTATGCGAGCTTCTGCCGCCTGCCTTGGCTCACAACACAAAGAGTTGGAGAGTAAAGTGGGCAATGCTGCAAGGAGGCAACAGAGACAAGGTCACAAACACTTCCTCGTGTGTAAACAAACAGCCTCGCAGAGACTAAAGAAGTCCAGGTCCCACCTTAAATTTCTTAAAACGCATAAAGTTAAATGTTCTTTACGGAACTTAGGACACAGCAAAAGGGGGATACAACCACCTTTATGGGTCAGTGGCTATAATTACCATTAGCAACACAAGCCTTTATTATCTGTTTTAAGCACATTGTAAAATGGTGAATAGCCCCCAAAAACAACAGAGGCGGGGGGATTGTCTTTCAGAGGCCACAACTAAGAGGTAATCATACAGGGAAAGTGGTGTCTTACAAAACATAGAAGGGGGTGGGGGGGGGTTACTAAACAGAACTGATAATATCTAATCAATCAAAGTGAGTCACACACACTACATCATCAAACAGCTACGCGTTCAAGTGCTCGATTTCAGGGTCACGCAGGGAGGATGTTGCGTTCACGTACCGACACGGCTCCACTCCACTCGTTCGTTAGCCTATTTCCAGATTACTTATTAATCACAGCATCCCACTGTGCACGACCGAACAGCGGCGTTGACTGCACACGTCCGGTGCAGCAACAATGCCGACTGGCTCGGCGCAGTTTTGTCAACGGCGCCGCTCGCCTAATTGAGAAAAGCGCACGCAATGGCTTTTCCAACGAGCAGCCCGACGTTCGCTTTGTTATATTCGGTTCGGTGTGACACATTGTTATCAACCCAAACACGGGGGTTTTTGGAAGGCAGAAAGCAAGGCGCTACGTTAGCCCGACACCGAGGTGTGCGCATTACAATTAGCTTTGTAGCGCTGCCTCTTTTAGCTTTGTCAGGTTAGCGTTAGCTTAAAATCCACCAAATACTGCAAATTAAATATGTGAGCTAGCCGCATCGGCTGTGAGCTAGCTATGCTAGAAGCGCTCGTTAGCGGCTTCCCAACTTGGACAATTTCTGCTCGTTACATTATTCCAAGTATTTTTACACACAAGCCCATAGTTATAGCTGGCTAAAGGGGAAAAGGGGAGCCCGAGCAGCGTTTGGCTACTAAAAGGAGGTGATTAGGTGCAGATGTTGCCACTCAGAAATTCACCAAGGCTCTGAGTAAATGGGTTAGCTAGCATAAATAACGTATTCTATCAAGAGACATGGCGTGAGCACCGCATTACAAAATTGGCTGTCACGCAGCCCAGACGTTTTCCTTGTATAAACAGAGCTAACGTTCGCCATGGAGAGGCAGAGTCGGTGAGGGACAGGCTAGCTAACGCACCCTTAAAGCGTACCTGAAAAACGTAGCAATACAAGGCCCCTCGAAGAGTGAAAGGCTGTTTTGTGACAATCCCGCTGCTGTGGCAGGAAACCCCAGTCTTGAGTCGGCTGCTCCGCCGCTTTTCCGCCAGCCCTTTGAGTCCAGACAGCCCCGGCCAGCGGCGGCAGAGTCGGGGGGGGGCCGTCACGACACTCGGAGCCCGGGCCTTTCCTCCCGGTTTCCCCTTTTTTTCTTTTGTCCTCACCTCCAAAAAATGATGAGAGCGGCGTACAATCGGGGTGCCTGTGGGTCCCGTAGCCAGCGAGCTCCACACACCCCCGCCCCCTCCCCGCTCCTTCCCTTCCCTCGCCTCGCTCCCCTCTTCCACACGCCGCTGAGGTGATTCCACCTATCTCCAACTCAAATTAAAACCCCGTCGCCTTTTTTCCCTCAAGCCTCCATTACGGCGAGAAGCTCCCGGACGTCAGTTTCCGTCACCAAATTGCATTCCCATGCCTCCATCAGAAGCTCGAGCTGTTCGTTTTCCTGTTAGACTACTGTGTTTTTTTTCTTCTTCTTGCAACAGAAAGACCGCCTTGAAAATGCATACACACTCATATTCCTGCACCCCCTCCCTCATCTCTCTCCATCACATCCCTCCACCACCCCACCCTCTGTGAAAGCTTTAGCTTTTTCATTGATTTTCGCCCAAAAAAGAAGAAAATAAAAAAAAGATTTCACCCCAAAAAAGTGCCCTCTGCATTCTTTTTTTTTACATAAGGGTCTTGCTAGGGCTCCTTTGTTCTTATTTCATGTCAAGAGAAAGTGAATTAGCTTAATGAGAAGGCACTAGGGTACAAAGGCAATATGGAGAGGAGGCAGGACTGAGAGGAATGGATGGTTGTGCCAATAATGACCAAGGCAACGGATAAAAAAAAAGGGGAGTTTGTGAGAAAATTGGAGTGCAGGCATCAGAGAAAGATTGCATGGCAGTGGATGAAGCTCGTTTAAGTTTGCTGTTCTCCCCTGATGATGAAAAACAGACTTACATAGCTCAACCTGACTGTACTTGTTTTACAAGAAGAGCAAAAAACTGAATTGAGTCACCGCTTTGATTTCCAGCTGTTGATCAGCTTCTGGGAGGACTCTCAGAACACCATCACTTCCTCCCCCCATTAGATTTATTGTGTAGCCTGGGCCGTGGCTTATCTCTGGCGGGCTCAGCTCCGGCCCGCTCGCCTGCTCCAGCCGTGGTAATGACGTGCCCTGTGCCCTCTGTCCATGGTGCTGCACTTTTAATATACTGCAGTGTGTCACACACGGCGTCTCGCTCTCGTTCAGAATCTCCCTCACACCACAACAGCCGTACACAGAAAAACCACGCGAGCTATCACAGATCTCAAATCTCTAATTCACAAACATGCGTTCGGCCGTCAGTCACAAGGGCAACATCTCTTTTTTTTCCCAGCCAACAGTTCAATACATTTCATTCCCTTGCAGATGCACGTCTATTTCTATCAGAGTTGCCATAGCAACAGCATCACAGAGACTTAACTGAGGATAATTTTTCTAGACGAGGTGCACGCGTTTGTGTTGTTGTTGTTTGTTTTCTGGCTTCTTTTCCTTTTTTTTTTCAACGATTTGGTTTTGTTTTTAGTTGAAAATGTTCAGCCATGATTCACTGACTCAAGAAGCTGCGGCGCAGAGAGCCGCAACGAGTCGCAGCTAGATAAAGGGCAGTGATACTCTGGGCCGCCAAGTCAGGCCACCAGGCCAATCCAATCAACAGGAACACCTGCCGGGAAACACTCAGACCCTCTCCATCGTGGACAAGGTCACAAAATCCTCCACAGAGAAGGCTGGAGGCACACAGTGGTAAAGAAGGCTCTCTGTTTGCACACACAGACCAAAAAACAAAAAAGGAAATGGGAATGAATACAACTGTATCATTTTCATCATTTCTGCTCATTGAGGAGAAAGTCTCGGAGGCATTTTACACTGAAGACAGACAAACAATAAAGGCTTTTTTATGCTTTTTTGGGACATGTTCCAATCAAAATGGTAGGACAACATGATTTGAAAAGATATAAATACTCAAAATGATGTATAAACTATGATGGCACTAAAAAGAATTGTATCAAGAAGCACAGTCTGTGCTCAGTCATGAGAATTCAGGACTTAATAGTAATAATCAGCTCCTTACCAGGTCATAAAACCAAGCAACAACCACATCAGATGGGAAAAAACATATAGCAGTGTGAAGCTTTAAAAAAAAAAAAAGACCCAGAGGCAGTATGGAGGGGAAAAACAGCTTCCATCAGCAGTGAGAGGATAAGTGCTACCAACCAAATGTGATTGATTGAATACATCATCAACAATACCAAACAGCACTGGAGGAGCAAAATTCCAATAACCTGCCTTTGAACAGACATTTGGGACCAAATATTTTGATGCCTCCTGAAGTCCATGACCACATTTACTTAGATATGGCAAAATTGGCTTTTTTAAATATTAAATATAATGTTTTTTTTGTGGGTTTTTAAGGGCTGCTTTCATTACAGGGTGTCACAAATCTGATTGACATGACACTTCTGGCCCTTGCGGCTGCCCATGCGGGGTCTAATCTTTTTAACTGATCCAGAAAGTGGTTTTAGTGGCCAAAACAGCAGAAAAAAGTAAAATATGCGTCTCCCTAAAATACGCGCTGAGCGTGGGACCATCTCCCAGACGATGCTGTTCAAATTACGCAGCAACAAGCAAACAGTGAGTGGAGTCTGCAGTTTCCTGGATGACCACACGGAGTCAGAGTCACACCACTAATGCGCACGTGTCGTGCACCCCTCCGAGCCGGCCTTGTGATGTACAGCAGCCGGCTGAATGAGATGAAAATTCTCCCGCATATAATTTAGTTTGAAATCCCAGTCCATCACAGCCTTTGAAGTGTACGCTTCCTAAGCTGTGCTTTGCTTCAATTTCACACTCTTTGATCCTTCTTCCTCTGGAGTGTCGTACGATATCACAATTAGTGTCCCGGAGACATTAAGTATTATTTTCCCCACAATGGGAAAGACGTGACACATCGAAGCCAGACACACAATAGTTTTGGTGACCCTCTCGGGGGTCACTTTTGGAACAAAGAGCGTGATGCAGCTCGGCCCGCTGCAGGAAGTCTGTGACCTGGGCAGAGTTTGATTATGGAAATGATCCCTGTGAGGAACATGACAGATATATCATTAGAACTCTGTCAACCTACCACCGTTTGTTTGGCTGCTCCTCCGCGTACGTAGTGATGACGTAGCACGAAAAAAACCCAGAAAACAAACTATTACGTACCTCCATCCACATGCTCACCTACCTATGAGATCCCTGAGGACGCTCCCTAGAGACGAGGGGTGGCTGAGGACATTTTTCTGAGTCGGTGTAGGAAAACGGTGCCATAACCACAAGGGTGCGCTCTCTCCCGGTAACGTTCTGTCCAACGCCGGGGCTTGTTGCCACAATCTCCTCGTCTCCTAGCAACGCCTGAACCCTGCCTCCAATCACTACGGATACCGGGATGGATGGAGGGAGGGAGGGAGGGAGGGTGTGAAAGTGGGAGAGAGAAAGAGAGATGCAGGAGGATGAGGTGGTGTGTGGGGGGGTGTGGGGGGGGGGTAGGTGGACATGGTGAAGCTCTCTTGGCACCGGCATCCCATGCTGCCAGTGCGAAAACATGCCTGGTGTTACAAGTTGATGATGCTGGGCTTTTTGGAGGTAGATCCTGTTAGATGCGGGCTTCTCAGAGACACGCTGAGATCATAATTCCAATCAGCGATATTAAATAATGTGAAGTAGAGGAGAATGATGGCTTTAATTAAGCAGGTTTGTCTTGAGGGTCCCCTCTTCTTCTCCTCACGCAACTTTCCTCCCGCTGCTTCTCCTCTGGTTCTCTTCTTCTACTCTCACCCACAAACTCCTGCCCATTAAATTTGATGGTGCCATCATCATTTCTGCTCCGTCCTTGTGACTCACGGCGGGCCCCCTGTGCTTTATGACTTCGCTCCTCCTCGGGGGTCCTCACTCTGCTCCCCCGTGTGTGATATATGGCTCCGTCTCACACACCGTGCACACAGACAATCAGACAATAACGCACACATCCAGTTTAATCTAATCCCGTGTGGTATCATGGACGTGTCACGAGCATTTACTGCGGTATGCTTAAGAAGATACATGCGCTTCAGTCAATACCGCGCACGCTGGGAAAGAAAAGGGAACATGTAACATAAGTTGATTACACCCTACACGCCAAACACAGACACACACAGCCTGGACACGCTTCCTCAGACGATGCTGAAGGCAAAAACCGGACCTGGGCCTGTAGAGCGGCGGGAAACTTTTGAAGCATGGAGAATTTTTTATCATCCCCCCCCAGGGCAGGAGTTTCTACAATATTGCAACATGGAAGTCGTCCAAAAAGATGGATCTATTAATGCTACTAGCATTTATTGCATCTATAACATTTGATCTAATCTCATCAAGGCGGTGACATGCAGCAGTAATAAACTCTCCACCAAAAAAAAATAAAAGCGAATGAAAGTTGAAAATCTGATGTCTGCAACACAGCTCCGAGCTACAAAAGATGAATGAGGGAAAACAGAAGAGAGAGAGGATAGGAAGAGCATGTGTTTGTGTGCGTGTTTGTTTTTTCCATGCGTGCGTGTGCAAAAGAGAGGGAAAAATGCTGGCCGCCGTTGCCGAGGCAACCTCCTCTCTCCGTTCTCCGTTCTCCTCTTTAACAATTTCTCTCCGGCACTTCCTTTTCACCTTCTGTCTTTTTACTATCGCAGCGATATCTCACTTGTTGATGTTCTGTCGCTCCATCTGTGCCTCTGTTTATCTCCCCGCATCCCTCTGCAGAAGCGGGATTCGTGAGCTGCTCAGCCCTATCTTCATCTTGATTATTCATCCCCGTCCTGTCGGCGGCACACATGTGCTTTGTTAACTGTGAATCACTGGGTGCAAGGGAACAGTGACAATTTGTGCTAAACCGTGTTGAATATCAGGAAGTAATTATTCCACTTAGGTGTTATTGATGATTTTTGAAAAGTTGGAGATATGGCGCAACTCCACCAGCGCGGGCATAAAGGAAAGTAATTAACTAACCTGAGGCAACGAGGGCTGACACGTCAGTGCGATCATTATGAAAGATGTGAATTACCCCGAATTTGAAATGTTGATGAATTGTTCACATTTGCATAGCAATGGAAGCGGGCCAAAGCAACCAGTGTGCCATGCTGCCTTTGGAGAGAATATTTCAATTTGAAAATGGGTTTAAAGACTTAACTGCTGGTGAAAGCATATAAATGATTTTAAAACATGTTCATTACAATATAAAAATGAACAAACAGTAAGTGTAACTGTTTGATAAGAATGTAGCTCTTTTAAATCAATATCTCTGTCATATCACCATGATGAATATAAAGCTACTGCCAGTCAACTTGGCTGGGTTCCCTGGCAAACAGTCCCCTTTTTAAATACACACACAAACCCAAAAACGAAGAAAAAGAGGGGAAATGGTTTATCTAAAAAAAACATTGCTAAGCTTTCTTAAGAGTTTCTGCAATCCCAAGTCCCCCGAATATTAGATATTGTGATTAA